CAACTCTGTCCGAGGCTTACGGGCGCCGTCCTGCCCGGCCCAGGGAGACGGCACAGCTCGGCTCGTTTTCCCGAGGATTTGAAGGGTGGGCGTCCTTTTAACACAACTGGAAGAGAAATAGGAAGCTGGCCTCCAGCCCCGTTGAGATAGAACCTGATTGAAAAGACTTGAAATTGATCAGGGTGGGACCCACTTTATAAAGGCGTCAACAAACCATCTGGTCCGTTTCAAGCACATTTTAAAAAGCTTATGAAATTGGCAGAGATTAAGGACACGAATCTCCATGGTTGGTGAAAGTGCAGAGAGTAGGCTGCCCGTCTTCCTCTTGGCAGGAGGATGGGGCGTTTTGTGACCCGCGTCTGCTCTGGGGGTGGAGGAACCAGAGCCCGTGAGCAACTGGGATTCTGGACTGACTCCTCTGGAAAGGAACGTAGCTGTGAAACCTCTGGGCTAACCTGCGGCAAACCGCACCCAGGGGTACAAATAATTCCTGGGAAACCTGGGGTCATCCCAGGAATGCGAGGTTGTTTCAAAGTTAAAAATCAAGCTGTATATTCACCACCTTAAGAGAACAAAGGAAAAGGAGTTTATAGCCGACCGTTCAAAGAAAAAGGGCCCCTCAAGGGTGACGAGGGGAGTAGCTGAAGGCGGGGTTTCTTCTGGGGGTGACAGAACGCTCTGACCTCTGCTGTTGTGACAGTTGCACAGCGCTGTGAATATACTAAAGGGAGTGAATTGTCATTTGTGAGAATCCCGCCTCAGTAAAGCTGTTACAGCAAAATGCAAGGGCCTCTGAGCACGCGCGGAACAGAAGGCAGCGTCCTTAACCGGACAGGAGTCTGTACAAAAGCCTCCACCGTACTCAATGGTCCGAGTGGGGAAGTGCTGAAAGCTTCTCCCAAGATGGGAGACGAAGCCGGCTGCGCCTGTTACCAGCTGTGTGCAGTGCTGGACACGACGTACAGAGGTGAGAAAAGTAGAAGAGGAAAAGGTAAAAGGATGGGAAAAGATGAATTAAAACTGTCATTTTCAGTTGGCATAATTTTGTATGGATGGGACTTCCCTGGTGGTTCTGTGGCTGAGATTCTGCGCTCCCGATGCGGGGGGGCTGGGTTCCATCCCTGGTCAGGGAACCGGATCCCACACGCCGCAACTGAGGGTTCGCGTGTTGCAACTAAGACCCGCCACAGCCAAATAAATAAATTTTAAAAAATATTTTTTTAAAATTGAGAATATCTTTTTTTTTTTTTCTTTTTTTTTGCGGTACGCGGGCCTCTCACTGCCGTGGCCTCTCCCGTTGCGGAGCACAGGCTCCGGACGCGCAGGCTCAGCGGCCATGGCTCACGGGCCCAGCCGCTCTGCGGCATGTGGGATCTTCCCGGACCGGGGCACGAACCCGCGTCCCCTGCATAGGCAGGCGGACCCTCAACCACTGCGCCACCAGGGAAACCCAAGAATGTCTTTTAAAAGCAATGGTTAAACATGTCAGAGAAACATAGTGTGAGTGTGTTTCGTGTTTGGTAATTGCAATCATCGTTGCTTTAGTTGTGGTCACCCATTTACAATGCTTGGTGACAGTTGATTTATCTCTTGTGAACATAAAATACAGTGTGTGTGAAAAAAAAATACTAGCAAACAGAATCCAACAGCACATTAAAAAAAAATGTCAGAGAAAGAGTTTGATATGAAAATTGTGTTGTTATGTGTACCAGCAATACACAAGATAAACATTAAGAACAAATACCATTCACAAGAGTGTTCAAAAATGTCAAATGCAAGAATAAATGCGATGAAAGATCTCCAAGACCGCCACACGAAAAAAACTATGAAACGAATTCCCTGGCGGTGCAGTGGTTAGGACTCTGCACTTTCACTGCTGAGGGTTCAAGCCCTGGTCAGGGAACTACAAGATCCCACAAGCAATGTGGAGTGGCCAAAAAACCCCACAAAAACAGTAAAACATTATTGAGAAAAAGAAGACCTACATTAATGGAGGGATGTACTACCCTTACGGTTTGAAAAACTCAATATTGTTAAGGTCCCGTTTAAATTGATCTATAGACTGAATGCACTTGAATCAAAATCCCAGCAGGTTTTCTGTGGAAATTGGCAAGCTTATCCCACAAAGTACGCATCCTTGAAGAACACAGTTGGAAGACGTAAGACCTATCATACATCTTCAGGAATGAAGGCTGTGTGCCCTGGAGAAGAGAGTGGACAAAAAGACCAAAGGAACACGATGGAGAGTGAAGAAACAGACCACAGGTATGAACATTTATGGCAAGGGCAGCTCTGCAGGAAGTGAGAAAGGGTGACAGTCTGGGTAAAAGGTACCACAAGTTGTTTGGACATGTCCCCCCGCCCCCCCCACCCCCAAGAAGGACTCTTGGCCAACAGCTGCCCGCACACAGCACGTGACAAGAGGATCATTGACTTAAACACATAAGGAAAACATTAAAGCTTCTGGATTAAACGTGAGAGGGTGTCTCATGACCTTGAGGTGGGCAAGGTCTTTTAAAGGCGAGCTGATCCGACAACATTGTAATGGGAGCTTCTTCTCATCAAAGGCACCCTGAGAGGACAGGAGGCCAGAGGCTAAGCGGGAAGAGGCTTGGGAAGCTCTGGGTCCCAGAGCGCATGACCAGGTCCTCGAGGTTAGCGGGACGGGGCCAGCATCCCACCAGCAAAGGACAATTGAATGGGTTTCACGGGAGGACAGCGGTGTCACAGGCCTGGGGGGAACGCCGATTAAGGCCACCGTGCACTGCCTTTAGCGGGGTCACTGTGGCCACAAGGTCCGGAGGCCGGTGACTGGTGACAGTGTGGACCATCCCCGGGGGCCGGCCTGTGGGTAGCTGGCTCAGTCCTCTCAGAAGCGGCTTTGCAGCGTCTTCTCAGGCTGGGCCAGTGCACGCCCCGGGGGCGTCATCCGCCCCGGTACTGTCCCGAGTGCACCAGGAGGCGAGGACAGGCTTCAGAGCGGCACTCGTGGAAACGGCACAAACCAGACGCCGTCCCGCAGGTTGAGGACAGATTGACGGACCGGGCACTTCCCGCGAGAAGACAGTGGGGCGGAGGCACGAAGAAGCCAGGGACCTTACTTGGCCCGGGAAGCTGGGAGCGGGAGGTGCCCTCCGGAGCAGCAAACCCAGCTGTGCTTTCAGAGCTGCAGGTGGACGGACAGACGGTGCCTGGGGGTGGGGGGGGCAGGGCCTCTGGGCTCTGGGATGTTCTGTCTCTAGATCTGCGTGATTGTTACAGGGATGTGCCCACTTTACGAAAATTCACCAACCTGTCAACCAGTAACAAAAAGACATGTGTTCACATACATTTATCACAGCAATATTTATAACAGGGAAAAATCGGAAGCAGCAGAGATGGGCCACGTCAGGGAAAGTTTCTGTAGTAAATTACAGTAGGCCCAACACCCGGAGCACATTTGACGTTCCACATCAAAAATGATGTTTGAAAGAAAAATTTAACACAGTTAATAAAATAAAATAAAGAAAAATCTAAATTTAGTTTAAAAGTTTTAATTTAACGAACGGAACATTCTCAAGATATGATGTTAAGTAAAAATCATGCACAGGGGCTTCCCTGGTGGCGCAGTGGTTGAGAGTCCGCCTGCCGATGCAGGGGACACGGGTTCGTGCCCCGGTCCGGGAAGATCCCACATGCCGTGGAGCGGCTGGGCCCGTGAGCCGTGGCCGCTGGGCCTGCACGTCCGGAGCCTGGGCTCCACGGCGGGAGAGGCCACAGCAGTGAGAGGCCCGCGTACCGGAAAACAAACAAAAAAAAATCAGGCACAGACACTGACATGTCAAGTAGTGGGTGAGTGGGTGTCATACACGTTTATAAAACTGTATAGAACAATGAGAAAATTCCTGGTGTAAACTGTCCAATTTTCCTTACTATAAGCGTGTATTTGTTGTGTAATAAAAAGTTGCTATAGGGCAAATGTGAGTGAAGAGACAGGGAGAGGAGAGCACAGCTTGGAACGGGGGACCAGGCGATCAGCCAGGGAACTGAGTAAGCCGCACGTCCTGTCACAGGAGAGGATGCTCCTGTGGATGGGAGAGCAGGGCCACCCGCAGTCTGTGTCCCGCTCGAAGCGGGGGGATGGCCCCCTGGACACCCGGAGGGCGGCAGGGCCGGAGGAGCAGTAGGGGCCTTGGCCGGAGTGGGGGGCGAGGTGAGAGCTCACGGCAGGGCAGGCAGGGCCTGCAGGCTCGGGAGGCCTTTGCCCGTAGAGACACAGGAGCTGGTGGAGGGTTCCAGCTGGGAGGCGGGGGAGGGGCGGGGGAGGGGCGGAGGCGGCAGGGCAATGGCTCTGAGCCCCCAGGAGAGCCCGTGGGGATGAGGACCCAGCCTGGAGGCCCCACCTGAAGCAGCTCTGGGCACCGGGCGCCGGTGGCCCCGCTCTCTGAGGACCTATTTAGAGCCCAGAGCTCGGGCCGGGGGGGCCAGGCGGCACCGAGCTCAGTGTGGACAGGGCTGCGGGCTGCTGCCAGGACCCAGGGCTCCAGCTGGAAGGCGGTCAGGATGCCCCGCGTCCCCCCGCTGGCAGCGAGAGCTGGGGAAAGAGGGCCCCCTCCCTCCTCCGCAGGGGGGGCTGTGGCCGGTGGGCGGGGCTCCGAGGGTGCGGAGAGCCCGAGTCCTGCAGAGCCAGGCGGCTGTCCTACCATCGGGTCCCTCTTCCTGGAGAGTCCGGTGTGCGCGGTGGGGGTGGGGGTGGGCGAGGCTCACCTGAGCCGCTGCCTTGGCGTTTGCACAGGGGGAGGGGCCGGCAGCGCCAGGGAGCAGCCTGGAGGGTCCACGGCGCCTCTGTAGATAAGGCATTAACAGTCTGGTGGACTCGCCCTCCAGATCTGCTGACGCTTCCTTTCGGCCCAGGTGCTCGGGGTGAGGTGCCAAAGGTTCCCTATAAAGTGCTGGGGCTCCGGCCCGTGGCCACTTACCCTCTGCTCCGGCCGCGCCTGAGGGACCCACCTGCACCCGCCATGGTCAGGCTGCTGCTGCCCAACCCTGGCCTGGAGGCCCGGATCCCCACGCTGACTGAGCTGGAGAGCCTCGAGAAGCAGGAGAGCAGCTCCCGGCCCAAGTGGGACAACAAGGCTCAGTACATGCTCACCTGCGTGGGCTTCTGCGTTGGCCTGGGCAACGTGTGGCGCTTCCCCTACCTGTGCCAGAGCCATGGTGGAGGTAGGCGGGCGGGGCGGGCGACACCCACGCCTCCGCCCCAGGCCCCACTGTGGCCTGGGGGCCGGCAAGCCCCTCGGCTCCGGGCGCGCTGGGCTGGCACATCCAGGGCCTGCGCGTCAGGTGGGGGGCCCCCATGCTCCAGTACCCTGGAGCCCTGCCCTGTTCCCAGACCTGGTCTGACCCGGGGGTGGGGGTCAGGGAGGAGCCGGCCGCTCCTCAGGGGGAGCCCCCTCCTCTGAGTGTGGAAGGTGCTGGCCCAACGGGCAGTAACGCCAGCCCTTGGTGAGTCTACCATGTAGGCACCGGGCTGAGCCCTCCCTGTGTGTCACCTTCCATGCCGGCCTGGGGTAGGGGAACGGGACTCGGGGAGGAGGTCTGGGGCAGGTGCAGCGCTCGCGGGACGGCCGGCCTGATAGCTGGCCGGTCGGATGCTCTGGGGATGCTCCTGCTTCTGTGGGCTCTTGAGCGCCCTCCAGTGACCTGAGTCAGTTCTAACTCCGAGGAAGCTGCAGGCTCTCCCAGGCTTTGTGACACGAGTGCCCCCCAGAAGAGCAGACGTGGAGGTGGCCTCCCGGGGTCCCCGCAGTGCCACCCCCAAGGGCTCGAGCTCCTGAGTGTCTGCGAGGGTGTGTCCTCTGAGCCTCTGGTCCAGCCTGCGCTTCCCTCTGTGCCTGGGGCCCCAGGGAGCCTGCGAGGTCAGGACCCCCAGCCTGAGTCCGGCCTATTATTGCCTGGCTCTCAGCTGCTTCAGTGAGGCTGGTGCCCCCCCTCTGGAAGTTGCTGGTCACGGCCCCTGAGGGGCCGTCCTGGGGGAGGGTCCCAGCCTCGAGTCCAGCACAGGGACAGGAGGTGGGCAGGGAGGAAGGGCTGAATGCTCCCTCTGCAGGTAGGCCCCGGGCGGCTCGGGATGGACCCACTTTGTGGGTGGAGGCCAGGGGCTTGTCCCTGAGAAGAGGGGGCTGGGACCCCAGAGCCGGGCAGGGACGCCCGGGAGGACCACGCGGGCAGCAGCTGCAAGGTCTTCAGTGAGAGTGACAGAGCAGAGACGAAGACCTCAGACTCCCAGGGAGCCTAGGCCCTTGACTAGGAACAGCTCCCCGTGGGAAGTGGGGTTTCCGGGCGCAGCTGCACACGGGCCAGGAGCCCGAGGGGCAGCGCGAGAGCAGCCTGCAGACCCCGCTGACGGAGGCAGCTGGGCTCCCTCAGGCGGCCCCGCCCCTCCTCAGCTTGGGCGAGGGTGGAGGTCCAGCCCCTGGCACCCTGGGCGAGGCTGCCGCCCGCCCCGCCCCGGACAGGTCGGGACTCTGGTCCACCCGCTCCCCCCACCCCCGGGAGGGCCTGACCACAGTCCTCTGGGCCAGCTCACAGGTCAGGAGCTGGGCGTCCTGTCCTCCACACCCGGGAGACGATCCCTGAGGACAAGGCAGCGGGTGGCGGGGGACCCATCAGGGTGACGTTCCCGCCCCCGCAGAGCCAGCTAGGAGGGAGGGGGGTGGTTGTCCAGCTTGCGGATAAATGCCGCCTTTGAAGGTTTTTGACCTCCTCCCACCCTGACCGTCCGTTCTGGCTTGGTGAAAACTTACTATGTCTCCAGTTATTTCCAGGAGTTTTGGGTCATTCAAGAAGTAAACGATCTTTTACTTTACTTTAAGCTTTATATTATGAAAAAAAGTAAATACAGAAAAGTAGAGAAAGCCACAATAAAGACCCCCAGGCCCCTGATTCAGGCTTGAGCATTGGCAACGTGTTCCCGGTATTTGTTGCGTGTGTTGCCACGTGCAGGCCAAGCGGCTGCTGCACGACCCTGGGGGACCATGCAGTCACGGGCCTCTGGTTCTGGGTCTCCCGTGGGTCCCGGCATCTCCGCGAGCAGGGGGTGCGGGTGTGCAGCCGTCGCCTCCACCCTCCCGCGCGCTGGCCTGGCCTCTGCTTGCCTCTGCTCTGGGGTGAGTGTTTGCTGTCAGCAGAGAGCAGGGGTCTGTGACGCTGAAGGAGCTGTCCCCCTGCAGGCAGGCCCGTGGCCCCAGCCACAGAGGAGGATCTTGCTGGCCCAGAGCAGCCTGCTGGGCGGGCGGGTGTGGGAGCCCTGGCTGTCTCAGCTCCCTGGGGCTTGGGAAAAACCTGCTGCTTTTCTGGGCTTGGTGGGTGGGGGAAACTGGCACCTCTCCCCGCCTCTCTCCCCCACCGTCCGCACTGCTCCTCCCTCGACGCCTCAGGGTGGCCTCACTTCAGGAATCTCCTCCTTCGTCCTTTGTGCCCCTCCTTCCCAAGTCCCCGGTGAGCGTTCCGTGGGCTCCGCATGCGTGGTTATATGTCCAGCCGGCAGGCGGGCAGTGCACCTGCTACCTGTCCTCTGCTCTGACCAGGAGTCTGACATCGGGCGCCACGCTTGCATTCAGCTCGCTGGTCCCCACGCCGCACCCCGCCCTCCCCCGTGCCATCTGGGTCTCCAGGAGGTGGGCCCCCCCGGGGTGCCTGGATCGCCAGCCTCCACACCCTGGCTCTGTCCACTCCCTCTGCGATGGCCACCTCTGCCCGTCCAGCAGGCCCGGAGCACACATGGGCTCGGTGCTCCCGCAGGGGACAGGGCCCAGGCGAGGAGGGCAGAGCAGGGCACGCGGGAGTGCGGGGTCCCGGGTGGTCCCACTTCTGGGGTGGTGACCTCTAGGCCCTGGACAAACCCAGTCCTCCTCTCCGCCCCCAGGCCCTCCGGGCAGCTGCTGTGCCCGCGGGGCGGTGCCACGGGGCTCTGGCGTCCCCTGGCCTGGGGGACCTGGATGCCTTTCAGGGGTCCGCTCTGCCAGATGCTGACTGGGACCGCACAGACCAACAGGGTGGACCAGGCCCGGGGAGGGCAGGACCCACCCGCGTGACTTGGGCCCCTCCCACAGGCCGGCTCTGCGGCAGCCGAGCAGTTTCTCCCGGGCACTAAGTCCAGATCACGGGGCTGGCAGGGACGCAGGGCAGGCCCTGGGTGAGGGCGGGCACTGGTGTCATTTGGGGAAATGGCGGGGGGACCCACGGCCCCTCATGGGTGTCTGGGGAAGCGGGCAGTGCCCGGGGGAGGCTGGCCCTCAGCTGAGGCACCTGCTGCCCACCCCCAACACAAGCCCAGGCACGGGACCACCCCAAGTCCCCGGGCAAATCCTCGACACGGGAAGGGCAGCAGCCTCAGTTTCCACTTCGTTTTCCTCCTGGAAGCCGACTGAGGGTCTGCGATTATCCTTCATGATTAAACAAAAGTGAGGCGCCCCTGGGAGACTCCAAAGCTGAGAGGTACCCCGCACCTGAACCTGCGCCACGTGGGCCACCGCCAGGCCCTCTTCCGGCAGCTCCCTCCTCCCCCGTCTGGCTTCCTGATTTTCGGAGAGAAACTCCATGTCGTTATCCCGGGGCGGGGGTGGGGTGGGGTGGGGTGGTGTTTACGTCTCCTGCCCCCGCGTCTCTCTCTGCATGTGTGTCCCTCCGTGGGGGCCATCTCCGCCTCTGGGGACCTTTGGAACCATGCTGGGCACCGGGCACTTACGTGGCTTTCCTCCCTCACTGAGACCCACGGCCCTCCTTCCTCTTTCCCTCCGCCTCCTCCACACCTGCCCCCACAGAAGGGGAGCCCGTTTAAAAAGGGAAGATGCATATTCCCTGGAGCCTGAGTTTCTTGAGAGAAAAGAAGCCAAGAACCACACATCCCTGGAAAGAACAAGGTGCAGAGTGCCTGCCTCCTGCTGGTGCTGCCAGGGCTGGGGGAACTGGGCAGGCGGACTGCACAACATGGGCACACAGGAGGGCTCCCTGGCCCAGCCCACCTCTGGGGGTGCAGTGGACATGTGCTGGTCCCACCCTCCCATCCTCTTGAAGCTGAGCCTCTGGTCCCCGAGGAACTTGTGGGAGGGAGAGGTGCCAGGACCACAGGCAACAGGGGGGGCTTCCTGGAAGAAGTGCTATCCAAGCGAGGTTTTCAAGGATGAATAGGAGTTTCCAGATGGAGGTGAAGGGGCAGGGAGACTGGGGGTGGGGGGTGAGTAAAAGTGGCATCATGAGGGGAGGGGACGGGATTTGGAATCATGGGGTTGTTTTCTTCTTGGTAGTTCTGCCCAAAAGATTTTCAAATCAAGCTCCCAAGAAAACGTCAGAGAGACAAATCTTATTTCAACTTTACCTTCACTGACAGAGGGATCGCAGGAGTTCCTGCCCTGAGCCTACGGCTCCGGCCGTGTCCCCAGACCCAGGGCAGCTTCCCTCCCCTCCCTCAGGGGATCAGTCTGCTGGGCCTTCTTTTCCTGGGGTCTTTCCTCATGGTCACAGCCCACACCCCTTGCTTCCTGGCCCTCAGCCCCCTGGCAGCCATGGAACCGGAAGAAGCCTGTCCCTGGAGCCCCAGGTTGGGAGAGAGTCTTGCGGCCCATGGCCCCTCAGCGTCCTGGCGTGGAGAGCGAGGAAGGGCCACGGGGAGGGAGGAGGTGCCACTGGGCTCTGGGGCCTGTCCGCCCAACGTGAGGGCTCTGTGGAGGCAGACGGAGGAGGGAAAAAGAGAAAAGGCCAAGGGACTAACCCAGGAGCTAAAGGGAGAGCCGGGCTGGCAGAGGCTGTGGGCCCCCCGCCCCTCCGAGTCCCTCTCGACACACACACATGTGCACACAGACACACTCTCACACACCTGCACACGCACACACTGCGTGCACCCACACGTGCACGAGGACACACATCCATGTGCACGCTTACACCGAGTGTCCACATACACACGGACACGCCCACAGGCTCACACACACACACTCACATACCCGTGGGCACACACACTCAGACGCGTGTGAATGCGCACATGCACGCACTCACTGGCACACAGCGCCACGCCACTGAGGACCGCTAGCTCAGGCTGTGACACGCACGCTGACCGGGAGGCCAGTGTGGGGAGGTGGTGGCCTGGCTGGGGTCCGGGAGACGACGGGGCAGAAGTGGAGGGTTTGCGATATCTGGGGGAGAACAGAGAATGAGCGTGCCGGAGAAAGGGGCGGGGGCGGGGAGGACGAGGGGGAGAGGTGGGTGCAGGGAAGGCAGGGAGACGGGGGCTGCACAGACACTCCAGATGGGGTGTCACACCCAGGGTGAGGGGCAGACGCGGGGCACCCCCTCACTTGGTAGGTTCACAGCTGGACGCCGGCCACTTGGGGCGGAGAGGTAGTGCCACAGAGCGAGCATCCCAGGGCAGCCCCGGCGTCCTGGGAACCCAACCGCGCGACCCCATCATGCTGGACCTGGATCCGCTCGTAAGTCCTGAAGCAGTCGTGTGTTTCCAATTCTTATCGCCCAGTTTCGGCTTTGAGGTTCGTCCCGACTAATGGTGACGACCTTTGGTAACCACGATTGTGCTAATCTCGGCTGCGTTGCGCTCGGTGCGGTGCCAGGCCGTGTGCACCTGGAATTTCCCCCCTGTTTTCCCCAGAGCCCGGTTCAGGGTGTTGGGATCAGCTGGAGGGCCCGACCTGGATCAGGCCAGGGCGGCTGGTACAACCATGGCTTGGGGGCTGGGGGTGGTGGTGCTGAGGACGGAGCAGTGGCAAGGGGCACAGAAAGAAGGGGCGTCACTGTGGGCCGGGTAGCAGAGCCCAGTGGGAGCACATGCACCGTGAAAGCAGGTGTCACCACGTCCCCGTCCTTCATTTATGCTCGGCAGATGTTCACGGGACTCCTGGTCGGTGCCAGGCTGGACCCTGGTGCCCGTCAGGGAGCAGGGCCGGCAGGCGCTGCGTCTGGCTCCCGCGCGTCCCCAGGGCAGGGTCTCTGAGCCTCAGATTGAGAAGCCCTCCTGCTAGATGTCTGGGTCAGCCTCTGAACCCCTGGCCTCTCCCCTCTGCCCTTCCCTACCTTTGTGTGAGGGTGCCACGTGTGTCCACACCCGCTGAGGGGCTCACCCTGGCACGTGCCCCTCCCTGGGCTCCACCTACACGTGGACACCGTCCCTCGTCCTCCGGGGGCTGTGGCACAGACAGCGTCCTGCAGGGATGGCAGACAAGGGTGAGCTGGCCCCCGTTAGGAGGTGGCGTGAGCCCCGCCCACAGCAACACCGCTGGCCGTCACCACGGGCATTGTCGACGGCGATATCCTTTGTGTTTGTGACAAACGCCTGTGAAGGTGGCCTGTGCAGTCCAGCGAGCTGCCCCCTGACTGCACGCCGCCCCTCCCTCTCCAGGGGCGTTTATGATCCCTTTCCTCATTCTGCTGGTCCTGGAGGGGATCCCCCTGCTGCACCTGGAGTTCGCCATAGGGCAGCGGCTGCGGAAGGGGAGCGTGGGCGTCTGGAGCTCCATTCACCCGGCCCTCAAGGGTGTAGGTGCGTGTCTGCACTCTGACTTGGGCGCCTGCCTGGGGTCCCGTGTTGGCAGCAAGCCCCACCCTGTCCTCCTTCCTTCCCTTCACGTTTCGGGGAGAGGAAGGTCCCAGGGCTCCACGGCCCCCACCCTGAGGCCTTTGCAAACCCTTCCTTAGAATCTCCTGGGGTGTGGCTGCAGGGTCCAGGCCACCAGGGGCTAACCGGGCAGCAGAGGACGTCCCGAGTCCCCAGGCGTGCAGGGCCTGGGAGGGGCAGACATGTGGGGAGAGCGGAGCACCCCACGGCCTGCCCAGAGCAGGGACCGGGAGGGACGCTGACCGCTGGGGGCTGCCCCCTGCTGTTTGGGGCCTCCGTCCACTCACACGCAGTGGGCCAGGAGGCTCCCCCCAGAGGTGACCTCCCCACCCCCCCTCAGGCATCGCATCCATGTTCGTGTCCTTCATGGTGGGTCTCTACTACAACACCATCATCGCCTGGGTTATGTGGTACTTCTTCAACTCCTTCCAGGACCCCCTGCCGTGGAGCCAGTGCCCACTCAACGCCAACCAGACAGGTGAGCCCTGAAGGGCCTGGGTGGGGGGGGGCGCCGGCCCACGAGCAGCCGCCCTCTGATTCTCCAAAGTTTGTGTGGTTGTAGCCCAAGTTTGGCAAAAACCGGAGCACAGAAAGGGGCGGGCCCTGCCCCCGTGGGCTCCCTGGGCGCACTGGGACCATTCAGGGCAACTTTCCCATCTCTGGGGATGGGGGCGGGGTGAGGGGAGGTCTGCCAGGATTAGACCATGCCCCCCTTGGCAGGGTCTCTCTGTGGTTCCGTGAGCCTGGGGGGCAATCAGGACCCTGGGACCCCGGGGCTCAGAGTGGCGAGAGTGTGTGAGGTTGAACAGAGCTGCCCGGTGTGGGCTCCGGCCTGGGACCGCCAAAGACTGGTGACCCCCTGAATGGCTGAGTGCAGTGGGGTGGGGGTGGGGGGAGAAGGCAGGCAGTCGAGGCCCTGTGTGCACGCCACATGTGTGCAAGAGTGTGTGCATGTGTGTGCCTGTACCTGGGTTTGCATGTGAGTTTACATACAAGTCTGTTTGGTGTGTGCATATGCTAACCATGTACACAAGTAGCACACGTGCACACGATCGCATGCAAGCGTGCTCATGTGTGCACACACCTGCTAGTACGTCGTGCGCATATTGTCTGTTGCGTGTGTCTGTGTGGGTGTGCACACACATGTGTATGGCTGGGCACAGGCGCACTGCACCCCTGGCATCAGTGCCCTGGGATCTGGGCCCGAGTTTCTTCCCTGGGGGTCCGTTTGCTCTGTGACCCACACTGACATGGGTGCCCATGCCAGGCTACGTGGAGGAGTGTGCCCGCAGCTCCTCCGTGGATTACTACTGGTACCGGGAGACCCTCAACGTCTCCACCTCCATCGACGACTCGGGCTCCGTGCAGTGGTGGATCCTGCTGTGCCTGACGTGCGCCTGGAGTGTGCTCTACGTGTGCACCATCCGCGGCATCGAGACCACCGGGAAGGTGCAGGGACAGCGGGCACTCCCGGGGGCGTTGGGGGGGGCCACGCCCAAGCTGCTGCCCCTTCACCAGCTCCGGGGGCCCAGCCCCTGCGTGCCCTCTGTCTGGGAGGGCTTTGCTGGTTGCCCAGGCCAGCGCCGCAGACTCGGTGCTGGACCAGATGGCTCTCAAGCACGTGTTTAGGAAGCCGAGTGTGGGAGGGACAGGGGCGTCCGTCTGGTTGGCAGAGCTAAACAGCAACCATGTTCACAACAGAACATAGAAGCCAGAGAGGGAGGCCGGGGCCCCTACCCCCGCTCTGGCCTCCTTTGTCCCACACCTGCCACCTCCCCAGGCCGTGTACGTCACGTCCACGCTGCCCTACGTCGTCCTGACCATCTTCCTGATCCGGGGCCTGACGCTGAAGGGAGCTTCCAGTGGCATTGTCTTCCTCTTCACGCCCAACGTGAGTCCCCGCCGGCCACCCGCTGGCCTGGGCACCGCAGCGCCTGCCTGGTCCCAGGGTCCCTGCATGTGGGCCGGGCCTGTGCGGGTCATGGGCCGGCTCAGCTGCGGCTCTGGGTGGAGGGCCATTAGCTGTCGCCTCGGGGCCGCTTTCCCTCTGACCGCCGACCGGTGGCCTCGGCCGCCACCTTGCCTCCAGGCTCCTGTCCCCCCGGGCGCCCCTCCTGTGTCTCCCACACCCCCGCATCAGCGGCGCACAGCCGACGGTGTCTGTTTGGCTGCAGGTCACGGAGTTGGCCAACCCAGTCACCTGGCTCGATGCAGGGGCCCAGGTCTTCTACTCCTTCTCGCTGGCCTTTGGGGGCCTCATCTCCTTCTCCAGCTACAACTCTGTCCAGTGAGTACGAGGGACAGAGGGTCCCGTGGGCGGCAGGGCTGTCACTCCACCAGGTGTTCCGGTGCTCGGAGCCTCGGTCTCCGCATCGGACCTGCCGTGAGCGTGAAGGGAAGGGACGCGCGCTCTCCAGAGGCGCCGGTCCGAGCCTCTTGGATTGCAGTCGGCTGGGCCGTGAGCAGGCGGGCGGGACCTGCTTACCCTTTGGCCTCCCTCCCCTTTGTGCCTTGGCCCTTGCGGCAGGGAGCGCTGCTGCTACCCCCTCCGTCCCCCACCCCTCGGCATCCCGCACCGTCCACCCCAGACCGACACCCACACAGAAAGTACCAGAACCCCCAGGGCCTCCAGGGGAGCGCAGCGGTGTCCGCTCATCTCATAAGCACTTACGGAGCGCCCGCCCCCGCCTCCCACGCGCCAGGACCCATGCTCCTGGGTCCCGCGTCCATGCGTCCGGCAGAGGCACACCAGCACGGTGAGCTTCTGTCAGGTCGCAGGCAATGAGAGACTCGGAGAAAAGGAAGAACCGAGCAGGGCGAGGAGTCTGGAGCCGGGGGCTGGGCCGGCTGGGCGTCAGAGCGGGCTGGGGCTCCAGAACACGTGAACACAGGCTCCGACGGCGGGTGGGTGCTGACTGTGGTCGCCCAGGCCGAGGGTGCCGTGAGGCCCAGCGGATTGGCGCGGGGGGGGTGGGGGGTGGGGGGTAGTTGAGGGTGAAGATTCAGCTGCTCCCGGCCGCACACACCCGACCCCTTTAAAGCGCACAGTCCCGCGGCTTTTCGTGTGCTCACAGAGCCGTGCAACGATTGCCGCTGATCCCAGAATATTTTCAACCCCCGAGAGAAAGCCCGCGCCGCTCAGCAGCCAGCCCCTCGCCCTCCCAGGCCCCCGGACACTCAGCTGCTTTCTCCCCGGGGGTCAGCCCCTTCTGACATCTCACAGACGCGGCCTCCTCAGGCTCCGCCCTCTGTGTCTGGCTCCTCCCACTGAGCTTGAGGCCCTCGGGGTTCGTCCAGGCTGTCACGTGCGTCACTCTCCTTCCTTTCGTGGCTGAGTCGCCCTGAGGCCTGTGGACGGGCCACGCTGGGCTCCGTGTATCATCCCTCGGCCGTTGGGCATCTGGTTGTGTCCACTTTCCGGCTGCTGTGAATGTTTGCGTTCAAGCTCTGTGTGTGCCTGTTCTGGCTCCCCGTGGGTGTACCCCAAGGGGCAGGGCTGGTGGGCTGCAGGGCGGCTCGAGGTCTAAGCATTTGGGGAGCAGTTCTCCACTGCGGCGCCTCCACCTCACAGCCCCCCACAGGGCCGTGTGCGCAGCCCTGGTCTCTCCACACCCTCACCCACACCTGTCACTCTCAAATGTTTTGGTTCCGGCCGTCTTGGTGGGTGTGCCGTGGCATCTCACTGTGGTTTGATTTGCATTTCCCTGGGGGCTCCTGATGGAAGCGTCTGGAAGGATGGTGTTGTCAGTAGGGGGGAGGGGGGAGGTCAGTGGTCATGTGCTGAGCTGAGGGAGGCTTTGGGTGTCCAGGTGGAGGGGGGGAGTCCTCAGCCGTGAGGGCCTGCGGCCGGCAGAAGGGGTCCTTGGCAGGGGCAGGGGGGCAGGGAGGGGGGAGGGAAGGGGTCCCGGCCAGGGGGTGGGGGACACCTGGCCCACGCCGCCTCTTTGAAGCTTCTGTGGCTGGTGGGCTGTAAGGTCCAGGCTGTCCTGCCCGCGTGGGGCTGACGAGTCACCTCCTGAGCCCAGAGCAGACGCTGGCCCAACAGAGACTTGAACACAGGCATCTCCAGCTCCAGCTCTGGGGGTCCCCAGGGCTTTTGGGGGCACCGAGGGGCCACCAGGTCACAGCAGGGCTTGGGGACCGTCACCTGGCATCCGGGCGGGTTGTCCGAGAGCCCCCTCCCCCATCCATGCCCAGGGGCGGCTCAGCCTCTCAGGCTGGCCCGATGGCTCTGGCCGTCCCACTTGTGCCGGCGTGGGCCGGTCGGGTGTACACGGCGTCTCCGGGCCTGTGGTCACCGAAGCCGCTTTCGTCCGCAGCAACAACTGCGAGATGGATTCGGTCATTGTGTCTGTGATCAACGGCTTCACGTCCGTGTACGCGGCCACCGTGGTCTACTCCATCATCGGCTTCCGGGCCACCGAGCGCTTCGATGACTGCTTCAGCGCGTGAGTGGCTGGTTGGCGCCCTGGTGGCCGCTGCGTCCCCGCCCCTCGCCTCCGCCTCCAGGGAGCCCGCCCAGGGCTGGAGTCAGCCTCACTCTATTTCCAGGAACATCTTGACACTCATCAACGGCTTCGACCTGCCCGAAGGCAACGTGACACAGGAGAACTTCGCTGAGATGCAGCAGTGGTGCAATGCCTCCAACCCCGCGGCCTACGCAGAGCTCAAGTTCCAGACATGCGACATGAACACCTTCCTCTCGGAGGTAGGCACCTTGGGCCGCGAGGCGGGGCAGCGGGCACCTTGGGTGGACACCAAGCTTCCCCCGGGAGCTCAGTTCTGACAGACCCGTCCCCCTGCCACGTGCCGGCCCACCCTGCCCCTCCTGCCCCTTGGGCGCCGGGTCTAGGGCACCAGCGTCTGCTGGGCCACGAGCCCCAAGTGTGAGGCCCCGAGATGCAGAGGCAGGGACCCAAGGGCCTCCACGGGCCTGACCTCTCCATGGCCTCAGGTCAAACACACAGAAACACCCCGTGGTCCATTTTTACTTTAATTTCTTCTGCAAAAAGGGCAGAGTCATTATAACTGTACTTTTTTTTTTTTTTTTTTTTTTTT